GTAAAGAGTTACCATCTCAACAATCACTTCCTGCAACACAGCTCTACAGGCCCACCTGAAGAGATCGCTGAAGACAGGGGTGGTATAGCAAAGTGGGCTGAAGAGCTCAGATGGAACCCAACGGTCAGGAAGAATAGCACCTAGGCTCCTAAAGGCTCCTCTTGAAACCAGCAGCAACCTAAGAGAGGTGTCGATTAAGTCCACATGGAAGAAGCACACCAACCTGTGTGATCCAAGGATTGTAAATAACAAAATCCAAATCTGAAGGAGGGAAGGGTATCAGAGCTCAAATTCTGAGCACCGATTTGCAGAAGGCTGCAGATGTCAGTGGAAATCCCAAGTCCATGTGCAAGGTCCCCACATAGATTAAGCCTCTTGTGAACGCCCTCTGATCCTAGTCCAGGGATGTGAGTAGCCTTGCTCTCAGACAGAGAGCACTGTAAAGTCGATTGTAGCAAAAGCCGATAGTTAACATGTAACACCTTATCATTTGATCTCCCTTTTGACCCATGTTAAAGTTGCTGCCATTTTTAATACTTTTCTATTGAGGTTTTCCTCTGTTTTGTTGTTATTGTTTGTTTTGGCTTGTTGCTTGTTTGTGTTTTGTATGATTTTCTGTATACAAAATCCAGGGTGGGTAAATATATAGAGGCAGTCATTGGACTAATAATTCCCTAGGGACATGGATGGGGATGTCTGGAGGTGGGAGTGGGTCTCTAACAACGATGGCTACCAAAAAGAAGAAAATGCTCTAAATTTAATGGTGGTGATGACTGCACAAGTGTTCTTCAAATGATCAAACTATTAAATTATATGCTATATCAATTATGCTCCCATAAAACTATTAATAGAAAGCATGGCTGTCTCAGAAATGCACCCAGGCATTTCCTATATGGTCGCTATGAGCCCACATGGACTCAGAGGCAGTGAGCTTGGGCCTTTGGTTTGTTTGTTTGTGTAAGTCACACATCCTCCATCATGACTTAAAGAACTCTCCTCCCTCACTCATTCACTGCCACGGTCAAATCCAAGTCACGGCACCATTGTAGGACAGAGTGGAACTGCCCCTGTGATTCCTAAGACTACCAATCTTCATGGGAGCAGAAAGCCTCCTCTTTCTCCCAACGAACATCCAATGGGTTTGAATTAGCGACCTTGTGGTTAGAAGCCCAACATGTAACCCACTCCTCACCCTCTCAGGGTTCCTTTTAAAGCATGTGAGTTTGGGGATGGACCTGCCGGCTCTTCCCTGCCCACCCCATGCAGAAAGGAACTGCTTTGCCCAAGTCATGCCCCCCGTCCTTGGCAGAGAAAACCCCACACCAGCTTCACTGCCATCGATGCCGGCTCGTGGCGACCTTGTAGGACAGAGAAGAGAGGCCCCTAAGGCTTTCCTAGACTTGAACTCTTTCCGGGGGTAGACAACCCCATCTGGCTCCTGTGGAGCGGCTGGTGGTTTGGAACCGCTGACCTTGCAATTAGCACCCCAATGCGTAACCACTACACCAAGGCCTGAGCCCGTTGCCTGGATTCAGGGACCCTCTGGGGTGCCATCCGAGGACCTGCTTCTCAGACAGCTCACCTCTGAAGTGCCACCACCCCCCCCAGAGGCTTTCCCCCACCGCCACTCAATCTCAAAAAAAGCCTCTGTGTTAGCCAGCTTTAATCCTCTGCTTGGCCCTTAGCACTGTGCATGACGCAGCTCGCTTACTATTCATCACTCTTGTCTGAAACATCATCATCTATGTCTTTCTCTCATCTCGATATTCCTTGTGCCAAACCAAACCTAACCCACTGCCATCAAGTCGATTCCACCTCACTGCAACCCAGAGGTTTTCCGAGGCTGGCACACCTTTAAGGGAACAGACAGCCTCCTCTTTCTCCCAGGAAGTGGCCGGTCAGTTTGAACCACTGACCTGGCCGTTAGTGGTCCACCATTTGCCCGACAGTGTCACCAGGGCTCCCTTAGAGCCCAGAACAGGGCCTGGCACATAGTGCGTGGTCAGTAGAGTCAATTAGTTAATGACTGAAATTCTACCTTAAAAAACATTCCACAGGCAAAGCGGAGGACAAGTCGGTGTTCTCTGGACAGCCCAGCGCCTTTGGGGAACGGTAAAACTACAATGTACCCATTTTCAAGTCTGCCTCGTGGTTGAAAGTACATCCCCTTGAGCACGCCTCCTAATCCTCCGCCTGACCTTGTAACCGGAGGATGAAGTTTCTGCCGGGCTAGCTACACCGCTGCAGCCCTCTGCTTAGAAATGCAGACACCGGGCACCGCAGGGGGTGTAGCAAGAGGAGAGTGCACTGTGCACACGTCAGGAAGGAGATAGGAACCTCCAGGCAGGTCTCAGGTCTGACAATCGTTGCGAGTTACTCAGTGCCCGCGCGCGCACACACGGACACACGGACACTGGGCACTGCTCTCACACTCCATTCGTGTTCACTCATTTCCCCTTCCTGATTGCCTGTAAGTTCGTTCATGTGGTTGTTGTTGTTCAATTGCTGTGCGTCCACCCGATGTACAAGAGGAGGAAACAGCGCCTGGGCCTGGGTCCGCCTCACGACCGCTCTCACGTCTGAACGCATCGTGGCAGCCACGGATCCAGCCCTCTCATCAATAGCCTTCCTCTCTTTAGCTGACCCTCTCCTTTCCTGCTGCCCGTCTCACTTACAGGCCAGGGGACTGAGGCACAGAGAGGCAAAGGGCTTGCCCCTGATGACCCAGCCGGACTAGGAATTGGGTCCTGACCCTCTGGCTCAAGAGACTGCTAACGACAGTCTGGCTGTAGTTGCCGGGAAGATGTGATCACAGAAAAGTAGACATGAAAGCAAAAGCAAAAATATAACCTATTGCCACGGAGTCCATTCCAACTCAGAGCAACTCAGAGGACAGTGAGGAACTGCCCCAGGGGGCTCCTCCCGAGGCTGGAAAGTCCTGCGGGCCAGACTGTCACATCTTTCTCCCACGGAACAGAGGATGGGTTTGAACTGGCCACCCTTCAGTTGGCTACTGAATGCTTAACCTCCATGCCACCAAGGCTACATCAAACAGAACATACAGTAGATGTTTTATAGTTCACTTCAAGTTGGTCTTTCTTTTCATTCTGAAACACAGGACCTGTTCAGAATCTTAAAGAGAGAATGTCAATTCCTTGTGTTTCTGGAAACTTCCACCTTTCATGCTGACATGCTATTAAATGTCTCGGCATTAGAGGATTTTACTCAGTCAGACATTTTTTTAGGAAAAGGCCAAGGAGGAGATTTGATCTGGGAAGTAGAGGAGAACTTGCAATAAAGTGGAGCACCACCTGCAATGAGACGCGATGGAAGGGCAAGATGGTGGAGCCATGCCAAAAGGCTGGACGTAGAGCCCTTGAAGACAGCTGGCATTGTCCTTGCAGCCAAACAAGCTGACCGTCCAGCCTCTTAGGAGACAAGATTGAGCTACGTTCCTGAGTGCTTTCTCACCTTTTTCTCTCAGCTGAGTATAATTTAGATGTGAGACCCTCCTATCATTTGCCCACTAAAGCCCATCTGCCTCCTCTTCTCCACCATCCTTCCTGGTTGTGTGTCTTCCTTTCTCCCAACGCTTGCCCATTGCAGTTCAAGAGACCCATTCTGCTGCTTGCCTCTGCCCCTTAATGATTGTGTGGCTGTTTGGGCACATGGTCACTTGCCTAACCCTTATTGTCCTCATCTGTAAAATGGACCCAGCAAGACCCACATCCTAGAAGGGTGGTGATGGTGGAATGAAGCTAGCAGACAAAGTGCCTATCAGGGTAGCTGGCATGTAACAGATTTTAATTGCCCTCTTCTCTCCTGCCTCTGTCCCCTCCCCTTGTTCCTTAACTTGCTGGGCCGGCCCTCCAAGTAGCGCCGAGCTTTTGATTGGCAAAACCCTTTGAGGTCAGGACTCCAGGCATATGGAGTTCCCAGGGTTCAAAGCAATGCCATGAATTCCAAGTAAAACTCTTAGAGGAGACATTGGCTATGAAGATTAGATATGAGTGCAGCCACTTAAAGAGTGGCATGAAATGTTAAGCCCATTCAGGAATTCCACGTATTCAAAAGCAAGCCACTCTAACAGATAATGCCTATTAATTTTCTTCATGTTAAGAATTGTGGTATTGTTACAATTCATCATGAATTCATCACAAGCTCATTGGTAGGGGTGAAGCTTCCTTTGTTGCTATGATCTGCTACATGATTAATTGTAATAATAGATTTTATTAAAATCAATTAATAACATTCATCTGAAACCCAGTCGTGGCCAGCGCTTTTATAATGGAAAAATCTGCCCAGAGTACAAAATAGCCAGGAAATCCACTGCTGCCGAGTTGATTCCTACTCCTAGAGATCCTATAGGAGGACAGAGTGCCATCGTCTGATAGTGCTTCCAAGGCGGTGAATCTTTACCCAAACAGACAGTTGCATCTTTCTTCCAGAGTGGCTGGTGGCTCAACAACCACTTTCAGTTAGGAGATGCATGCTTTAAACGCTGCGACATTAGGGAGCTTTAAAGTGAACATTCAAATCTCCAGGCAAGATCTGGGTGAAGCCGTTTCCAGAGTCCTACAAATTAAATAGCCTTCGGGTGGTCATCAAATGTCAAGTTATCATGGTAGGTGTCAATGAGTCAATTTCGTTTGATAGTGACCCCATGAACATCAAATGAAACGCTGCCCACGCCTTCGTCAGCCCCTGTTGCAACCGTGTATCAATCCATCTCCTTGAGGGTCTTCTTCCTTTTCACTGGCCCTCTATTTCTCCCAGCACAATGTTCCTTTTCCAGGAACTATCCCTCCTGAGAACAGATGGAGTCTTGCCATCCTTGCTTCTAAAGAATACCTGGCTGTACTTCTTTCAAGACAGATTTGAGGTCTGTCTTAGAGCCGCTGCTGTGACACTGTCCAGATTCTAGCGACATCCTCTAGGTAGCAACATCTGGTCATGGGAGCAAACCACGAAGGAAGGACTTTCTACCAAGGGACACTTACCATTGCAAAGTAGCAGGAGTGGAGTGGGGCTTGGATGCTCTATTATTTTCTTTTTCCTCATCTGTTAAAGAAAAGAGAAAGGGGGAACTTAAGCCGGAAAAACTAAAAGGCTTTTCAGTTCTCATGAGTTTCAGAAGCCCACGTTTCCCTCAAATGTTGGTGCTGAAAACAACAGATTGGCTTTTCCCAACATGTTGACACTCACTCACTACCTCTGAGTCCATGCTGATTCGTGGCGGCCCTACAGGACAGAGGAGAGCACTTTCCAGGTAGGCACACCGTAGGTAATTAACTATTTAAGATTAAACGAGTAGCATTTAACCAAGGACAATGTTCATTTGGGTTAGGAAAGAAGGAGGACGCACAAGGAGGAAGTAAGATAAGCAGTGTTGCATTGTGGGGATTGTAAGCAGTAAGATGAAACAAATTATTTATGAATGAGTGAAAAAACTGATCTGCTCTGTAATTTTTTCTCCCAACTCACAACGGAAAGGGTTTTTAAAAAAAATTTCAATAGAAAGCAAAACTAGATTCTTGACCCACAAAATCAGACCCAACAAAGTGAGTTAAAGGTTTCAAAAGAATACTAATAAAAAGAGTATTAATAATGTCAAGACCTTTAAATATCATTTAAAAACAAATACACGCACATAAAATAGTCAATGAAATAAATCTTTGGTGCAAAATGTACATGGAACATTACCCATGAAAATAACTTTGAAAAAACAAAAATGAAAATGGGAAAAAATAAAATCGTGCACACCAGGCAATTTTTAAAAAGCTCATTAAAAGTGGGTCCAGTTAATATCTTAATTAGTAAAAAATACATCAATACTGGTAAATTCTGGTTGAAATATCTGCTTGTAAACACTTCATTAAATACTCTTTATCTCTTATTGTTTATTCAACAATCGTGTTCACAGTCTCTCTTATTAATAAATTCACGGTCAATCAGTTGATTCCAACTTATAATGACCTATAGGGAATAATAGAACTGCCTCCTGTGGGTTTCTGAGACTGTAACTGTACAAGAGTAGAAAGCCTCATCTTTCTTCTAAGGAGCAGCTGATGGTTTTGAACTGCTGACCTGGAGATAGCAGCCCAATGTGTAAGCCACTAAAAACTAGGGATACTTATCAATAGGGCCCATATTTAGTGGAGACCATAGGTTCAGGGAAGGAGTTCTAGTGGCACAGTGGTTAAAAATTCAGCTGATAACTGCAAGGTCAGTGGTTTGAACTCAGCAGCTGCTCTGAGAGAGAAAAATGAGGCTGTCTTCTCCCATAAAGATTTACAACCCAGAAATCGTATAAAGGATGACTGTGAGTCAGAATAGACGCCATGTGAGTGGGTTTAGTTTGGGGTTTTATTTCAATTGGTTGATTATTCGACAGTGTGTGGTCACTCCCCTTCTACATCCCTCTAATGTTTTGCTCTACACTTGCCTGTCAGTTTGTCATACTGTGGTGGCTGTGTGATGGTGTCATGCTGAAGACTATGTCACTGGTATTTAAAACAAACAAGCAAACAAACAAACAAACAGAGGGTCAACCAAAGGGAACAAGTTTCAGTGGAGCTTCCAGCCTAAGAACAGACTATGAAGAAGGAATAGGCTGTCCCCTGCAGAGGCATTAGCCACGGAAACTGCCACGGGTAGCATTGAAACATTGTCAGTTACCGAAAACCTGATGAACAGAGGCAGAACATCCTCAGAGAGAGTGCCAGAAGATGAGCTCATCAGCTCAGAAGGCACAAAAGATGATTGAGGAAGAGCTGCCTTCTCAAAGTAGAGTCGATCATAAAGGCACAGAGGGAGTAAAGCATTTGCCTTTGAGACCTTCCATTTGCTGACGGGGCATGACTCAAAGTGAGAAGAAACAGCTGCAAACACCGATCAATCATTGGAATTTGGAATGTATAAAGTATGACTCTAGGAAATTTTAACGCGGTTAAAATTAAATGGAACACATAAAGATCGACATTCAAGGTTTCAGTGAGCTGACATGGAGTGTTATTGGCTATTTTTAATCATCATGTAATGTGGTCTACTAGGCCAGGAGTGACACAATCAAGAGGAATGGCATCACATTCATTGTCAAAAAGGACATTTCAAAATGTCTTGAAGTGCAATGCTGTCTGTAATAGGATAATGTCTATCCCCACACAAGGAAATCCAATCAATACAACTATTATTCAAATGTATGCACCAACCACTAAGGCTAGTGATGTAAAATTGAAGAATTCTACCAACATCTTCAGTTTGAAATTGATCAAGCCTGTAATAAAGATGCATTTGTAATTATTGGAGATTGGGGTGAACGAGTAAGAAAGAGGATGGAATGGCAGTTGAAAACCATGTTCTTGGTGATAGAAACAAAGCTGGAGACCTCACGACAGAATTTTTCCAGACTGATGACTTGTTCCAGTAGCTAGTTTATAGCAAATGCCTTTTTAACAACACAAAAGGCACACAGGCTTCTTCAGAAGGAATACATAGAAATCAAATTGACTGCATGTGTGGTAAGAGACAATGGAGAAGCTCAATGCCAGCAGCTAAAACCAGGAGCTGGTTGGGGAACAGGCCATCAATTGCTCATGTATAAGTTCAAGTTAAAACCGAAGAGAATTGAAACAAGTCTACCAAAATAAGACCTTGGGTATAGACCCCCCAAATTTCAAGAACAGATTTGATACTGACAGAAGATCTTCTAAGCCATAGGATGACATTGAGAATGCCATACATGAAGAGAACAAAAGGTTATTAGAAGTCAGTGGGAAGAAAACATCAAAGGAGGTCAGAAGAGACTGAAACTTGCTCTTCGTCGTAGAGGAGATAAGGCAAATGGAAGAAATGGTGACGTCAAAGAGCAGAGCAGAACAGAAAATTTCGAAGGGCAGTTCTATAAGACAAAGTAAAAGACTATAATAAAATGTGCAAAGACCCAGCAACAGAAAACCAAAAGGAAGAACACACTCAGCACATCTTAAACTGAAAGAATTAAAAAAAAAATTTCAAGCCTCCAGTTGTAATAGTGAAAGATTCTATAGGCAAAAGTTTTGAATGATCCATGGCTTGCTTCCTATATGAGGACACTATGGAAAAGCTGGCTTGCATTTTGTCTGGGTCTGGATCCTCCATTTAACTCACTGATCTCTAGTTCTTTTAGGCTTGAACCAAGGGCCTGCCATATTGCCTGCCAATCCCAAGAGCCATCAGTGCTAGTCTGCCATCTGACCTGTCCACCTTGGTTCCATTTGTCTCGCTAGTCATAAGCTTGCCCTGCTAGCCTTGGATTCATCCACCTCTGCAGCCAACAGCATGTGTGGATTCAGATATAACTTGCCTACTTCTACAATGGTATGAGCCATTTCCTTGATATAAATTTCTGTCTATCTATCTATCTATCTATCTATCTATCTATCTATCTTTCTATCTATCTTGGTTTTGCCTTTCTAAATACCCAGCATAACACACACAGGATGTCTTCAATGTTCTTCGCTCAGCTTTGCTATGAACAAAGTGAGACCAATAGTTGCATTTTAGATGCTGCTCCAACACCTGTCAGACCCCAGTCACTCTCTCTTACACTCACTGCTCACTACTCACAAGGATGTGGACAATATAGAACAGGGCTGTGGGGAATATGGAACAAGGCTGTGGGGAAGACAGAACATTGTCTTTGTGAGTTGCACTATGCTGATTGACTTTGATCTTTGCTGCAACCACAGCTCCAAGCCTTCTGGCTGAGAAGACATCACTGCTTTGAAGTCTTCTTCAATATGCTCTAAGTCAGGAATCGTTGATCCTAACTCTGTTCTTCCACATTACTTGTGTCACAATTAAACAAACAAATTAATCACCTTAATGCATTACAGTAAATGCCCTCTCTCTCCTACTTGGCTGTAAGCTCATTCAGAAGGCAGGCAAATGATCTCACTCAGCTTGCATTTTTTTTTCTCACCAGTGCTAGCACAGTGCCTTCACTTAACACTTAATAACATAATGGAGTCTGCCTTCCATAAATGTCCTCTACAATCTTAAGTAAAATAAAATAAAATAATAGAATGGTAAAGAACATGAGCCTGTGGGTCTCACAAGAGGATTGTAAACAGACACAAAGAGCAATATTGAACCTCAGAAATAAAACACAAGGGATAAAAAAGAAGGCAGCACTATTTTACAACTATGAGAGTAACAAAAAAATTATATAACAATAATGTCCAATGTTAAAATTGACAAATTTCTCTGAAAGTAGTTTTAACTGGCACAATGGATTTTTTGTGTGTTTGTGTTTTGTTTTCTTTAATCATTTTATTGGGGGCTCATACAACTCTTATCACAATACATACATACATCGATTGTATAAAGCACATTTGTATATTCCTTGTCCTTATCATTCTCAAAACACTTGCTCTCCACGTAAGCCCCTGGCATCAGCCCCTCATTTTCCCCCTCTCCCTCCCCACTCCCCAATCCCTCATGAGCCCTTGCTAATTTATAAATTATTATTTTGTCATATCTCACACTGTCTGACAGACAACAGAAAAGTGGGTGAAGGGGACATCGGACGTTGGGCACAATGGTTTTGATGAGCAATTTGAAAATAATATTGAGACTTCCGGGAAGATGGCGACTGAGTAACACATACCAGAGGGACTCTGCAGAAATCCGCCCAGGAGAATTGCTTAGAGGGAAAGTCAACACTGCTGGATCGCAGAAGGAGCATCATAAAGATAAGTAGGCACAGACCCACAAGGTTTTGAGGGACTGGGAGCTTTGGGCTTGCCACAGCGGAGGGCGGCTAGGGCTTGATCTTAGCTCCTCCACTGTCTCGGCCGGAGCCAGGACCATTTGGAGCCTGCTCGGGGGCTTAATCTCAACACAGCCACAGTTTGCCTCAGCCTGCCATGGGGCAGGGACTAAACCCTTGCAGCCCCACGGGCAGGGATCAGGGCTCAGCTACATTGTTACTTTTGTTTCCCTCTCTTCTCTCTATCCTCCCACAGTCTCAGCTGGCTGCAGAGGGGGTGGGAGGGGGAGGGCTTTTTCTCAACACAGTG